TATAGTTATAGGTTATTATAGCCTTACTACCTTAAGGCTTATTAGCTTTAGTTAACTAAAGTAGGCAGTAATAATAAGTAGTAGTAGTACTACTAAAGGTATAGCCTTAAGCTTTAGTTAAATTAAAAAAATTACTAATAAAAGCCTATATTTATTTAAATTTAGTAGCGCCTACCTTTATAGGCTTAGTAAAATAAAAGTATTACTTATAATAGGCAGTAAGGTTATTAAGTATAATAATAAGGCTAGCCTAGGTCTTAGGGACACATAAGGTAAGTCTTAATAAAGTAAATAGTTAGATAGGTAAGTAAGCTAGTAAAAAGAATATTCTTACTATTAAGCTCCTTTTAAAAGTCCTCTAGGTTAAAGTTAACTATATTATCCTTATAGTTAAGCAGTAAAAGCACTTAAAGGGTTATAATTTTGTTATCTAATGTGTTAATTATATTAGCCTTACTAGTAGTTAACAGAGGAATATCTAATACTATAGTAATATAAAGAAAACAATAATAATAGGGTAAAGGGTTAATTAGTAATAAATAATATAGTTAATAATAGGTTAACAGTAATAGGTTAGCAGTAATAGGTTAGCAGCAATAAGTTATTAACTTAATATTGTTACGCGTAGGTAGGTAGTCTAGTTAACCCTGAAAAAACGCAGAGGATATAGTGGACCTACATTAACTGGATTAACCAATCAGAATATCCAAATATATCTATTATTTTAATATAATTAATGTTAGTTGCAGTGCGGTACTTCAGGGGCCCATGGGCAGACCCACAATGTGTCTGCCTGTTAACCGCTACCCCTCCAATTCCCCCTCCGCTCCCGGACGCTGTAATTTCAGCACATGAACATGAACTCGGCGCCCCACTGATCAAATCACGTCGTCCTGTTTATTACCCTCGACCGTGGCTCAGTCGCCCACTTTCGGCGTGGCTGGAGCACATGCGGTCGAGCCCCGCAAGTGGAAGGAGGCGGGGACGCCGGGCTTGGCTTCCCGTTCCCGCTTATTCTTACATCTCCCTAGGTTCCGTTGTTTCGTCATCGTCCGAGATGCTCGGCAGATCGAGCAGACAAACAGACGCGAGGCCGAGCTCGTTTGTTGAGACAATCGCCGGACTTGTGGCCCAGTTCACCGCAACAGAGGCACTTGATCGGCTTGTTCTTTGCGACCTTCTTGGATTCGGGGTTTTGAAAACATTTCGATGCCTTGTGGCCCAGTTCACCGTAACAGAGGCACTTGATCGGCTTGTTCTTTGCGACCTTCTTGGATTCGGGGGTTTGAAAACATTCCGATGCCTTGTGGCCCTTTTTCATGCAGTGGGCGCACACGTTGCAGGATTCGCCCGTGTGACATTCCCAGCAAATAGAACAGATCTTCTTGCCCAAGCAGCGTGGCTCTTGCGAATGTCGCTTCAGTCGATCCTATGGAAACAACATCCGGCAGTTAGACAGATGTGAGCAATGTTCCAGAAACGATTAGTTGGGATCGCGGCTTGATCCAGCAGCCTACTGACATTTGAGCTCCGCATTCTTTAAGAAAGGACCCAGGTTTAGCATTTTATTTTTGTGGTAATGCAAACTCTGGTCTCTCAAAAGCAAGAGCATGCCATCGAATGCGTGGTCGATCAACCACTGCGCCTCGGAGGTCGCATACCTAGTCAGTCTGGGCAATGTTGCAATATTGCATGAATTTTTGAGCCATGCAAGAAAGGTATCCTCATTGCCTCCGGTGGATTTTTTTCGCACAGTCAAGGTTGGAATCGTCTTCAGACTTGCTAACCAAGTCGCCGTCATACTCAATGTAGTCTGAATGTAATGAAGCAGACTCGAGTATGATGCGGGCGAAATATCAAGGTCGATAACGTATTCGTTTCGAACCCTGGATAGCTTCAAGTCGTCTTCGGTGACGACCCAGAGGTTCTAAATTGACGATTGGTTTCGTAACCCATCAATTCTCGAAAGTAAGATAGATAGATAGCCCCCTGAATGGAAGGCATGTGAGAGCGCGGCACCTTTGCTGCTGATGCGAACCTGCTCCTTGTCAGAAAAATCGTAGTATATTGTTTGCTTTGTTTGAGCTTACAAATACTTTTTCTTCATGACAGGTCTCTTGAATATGTCCATGGGCCCAACTAGTGGTCCTATTGTCTGCACATGTATCCGTAGAATTCTGGATGGACAACGTTGAAGTACGTTTGTCTCGACATGCTACGCAGGATGTACTCCAGCTGGTCAACCAGAGCAACCAGAAGCTATACCCTTCTTGCTAACCCGTTGTGGATTTGAGAATGGGGTGCTACCATATTATAGGTTCGTCTATATCGCGATAATGAACTCCCGCTAACTGGCACTGTTACGTATTAGCCTGCTGTTGCAAATTTTACTTCTGTTACCTCTGCCTCGAAAAGTGGAAGAGTTGCTGGTGCCTTGTCTGGGATGAAGACTGACTTATTGCCGCCAGCAAGGAGAGAGTCCAAAGAGACCTACAAGTACTGACGTCTCCATGAAGAGTAGCAGGTGAATAAAAGCAGAGCAAGTGGGGACGTGGCAATATGTTCGATCTGTTGCCGAATACGCGTGGAAGATCTTCGCAAACTCGTCTAAGAACAACCGTCCTGAGATATGGTCGATAGGGATAGCGTGCCATAGCACTAGAGAGGCAAAAAGGTTCATTGTTAGTAGATGCCTCGAAAAGATTCCAAAGATAATCAGCGCAGTACATGCCTTAATAACTACTGTTTTTGTAGAGTTCGCGCGTGTCGTGTATATCCCGACAAATGACGCATTTGGCTGTTCCTGCAAGCTGGTTTGTTGGACCCCTTTGGAGTAACTGCTACTTATGTGGGCGTGACAGCACAACGGCGAAAGTGAGGCAATATTGTGATATTGGCGATGTGTGTGAAGAGGAAGAGAGTGGGCTGCCCGAGGTGGGCAGAGGCTGCCCAAAGGAGGGAGGAGGGAGGAGGTAGATCACATGACCCAGTGGGGTCCTCCCTCAACAACGTATTCAACTGACTTTCGAGGAGTTCTGAGTCGGTCCCAGATACTTCATGACTTCTGTAAAGGAGCATTGAATAGCGAGTCCTCTAACGAGTCCTCTAATAGACTCGATGTATCTGGCGCATCGGTCTTCAGGATTTAGGAGATGAACGGGATGCTTTCGATCTCTGCAATGAAAGATAGACCACTGAAAGATTATAGTAGAGCCCGCTTGGCCCGATATGAAATACTCCCAAACGGGATGCCCGGTAAAGTATTATCCTTGATTGTTGCTGATTTGCTTCCAAGTCTCGAACCTGGACAGTACCGTTTGGTTTAAACCTCGCCCTGTCCACGGAATGTCAGCGTCCCTATCTGTAGCTCAGTATCAACCGATTGAAAGCGCGATAAAGTGAGCTTTGATCTGGGGAGCATCGGAATAGCCCTTTTGGATCTGGTTGGAGCAAGAGGAAACGTACTTTTCTTACTGCGTTACTCAGCATAAGGTAGCCGAGATCGAGCAGGTTGACCAATGGCAGAATCTGTTTCATTCTTTGAACGGCACAGCCCATTATTACACTCCTTTCAAGTAGTACTGTGTCAGGACAGCTCTATCGCCTGTGTACTGCGTACCATCGAGGGATTTGCAAGGTTGTGTGGATGTCTTCGATGCTTTATCTTTAGGAATTTCCGGCAAGACTCTGAAGTGGTGCATCCGTAATGTTCGGCTGCTTGACTCAATGTATGTGAGGCCGTCTTTTCTCAAATGTTCGCTTAAGATGGTACCGCTTTTAGCGTTGCCGGCTCTGGTACTTGAGCAAGACGATTCAGCTCCTGAACAGTCCCAGCATTGTCGATGCCCAGCCTCCTTTTGGAAGAAGCCGAAATAAGCGAAATATACTCCGGATGGTTCCTTGTGGGATCACCCTCAAGTTGAGTTGGGTTGAAACCTGCAGAAGGACCAAAAGGGGCGTTGGGCCTTGAGCTGATAGAAGTGGCTCAGATAGTGTCACCTCTTGGTCGGTCATCTTTCCGGTGGTGTTACAGCCAGGTATCCAATTGGAAGGAAATGTGCCGTGGTTAAGGAAGTTTCGGTGGCCAGGTCAATGCTGGTGTTCGAGTGGTCCTTCGCGAGACCGCCCTCGGGATTCACGGACCAAATATCTGATTCATGGTCTCTGCCTCAAAACATCCACCCGCGAGGTATCTTACGACCGCTGAGAATCTTATATAAGTTTAACCGGGTATTTAAGCCCGGTATATGGGCACTTTATCCAAGCACCTGGTAGGTTTTGTCTCCCAGCCATTGCTTGCGACACCGCAATTTACCACTATGTAGTGGACTTCTCATCGAAACAATGGCTGTGTTGCGGCAGCAGCTTTGCAGCAAGCCCATCACAACGACAAAACTTTACTAATGATTGTGTCGGCTCAAAGAAAAATTTCCTTGTACTCATCATTTCCATTACCGTCCATGGCTGTGTTTGCATCAACATTGCCAGATTGGTCCCTAAATGCTGCACCATCCCGTTTTTGTTGGCAGATTTCCCGCACTTTACTTCTGTTGGACCTGTAAGACCCAAATAATTGTTTGATCAGTCGGCGCCAAAGACTCTAACAAACCGACAGACGCAGAGAGAGTTTGGCACGGTTGCTACATACCATCTAGCCTTTTTGCCCTAACTTGTAGTCCATATGTGTCGGCCCGAAACGGGGATGAACCTGCAGCTGGGCGAAGCAGCAACAACTCCCTTTGCTATTGTTGTCAGAAGAAGAAAAACTGTTCAAGGAATGTGTTTGCCTACAATGCGGGTTTGGATATATCTGCTCAGACCAGACAAATGTTGGGCTGAAGTCCGGGCTGGCAGCGCAGCTGATCGACAGCTGATCTGGGCAACCTGGAAACCTGTACCTAGGCACCTAGATTCCAGCCCATCTGGGCCCAGATGGTGTCACGAGACATATAAGCGTTAGTTGCTACCCCGTAACTAACGGCGTCGTTTTTGGTTACGTGGCAGACGGGCTAGCATCGCCATTACCTATCGCAATATATCTAGATGAACCCGGTCGGGCTGGTATCGCCGTTACCCATCGCGATGGACCCAGATGGGCTGGCATTACTGGCTATTGTTATTGAAGACTGTCCCTTCCATCTTGTGGTGGTTGGGATTACATATTATCTACAAGTTACTACTTGTGACAAAACCTTTCATTTCCCTGTAACAGATTATGTGGTGCAATACACCCTAGATCTCTAAATATGAGTGAGTTAAGCGCACACCTTTGGTCCAGTCACCTAGGTGTTGGCTAATTGAAAGAGTGCAATCTATGACTTGTGGTGTGATAGAAATCTTATTCGGGAGGGATTGAATACCAGCTAGTGACATGAGTTGTCTTTTCCATTGCTGGCAAGGTGGACAAGCAGCGTGGCTGGCTGGTAACACAGGCAGACTGAGCTGAGATTGCTTTGATGCCCCTTCTTTGGTATCTTGTGCTGCAGGAGTCTTAGGTTCTTCATAGATACCTAAAGTGATTGGATTGAAGAGACTGAAGAGGAGGTAATTTGAGATATATACTCCTATTATGTCGGTGGTAATACCCATGATTCAGTTTTAAGCTTAGGGGAATAGGGACTGCTAAAGTGATCATTATCGCTATTGTATCACCTTGTACTGCTTTTTTTGCTGGTTTGTTCTTGTTCTTTTGCATTGAAATCTTAGGTAGGTAGGTAGTTGGTTTTGAAAAGCTTCATCCTCAGCGTACCTATCCTATGCATCTACTCTATGCGGGCTTGCTTAGGTTCTTGGCCCATTTGGGTGTGTTCTACCTCACTCTCTTCACGCTTTTCTTCTTCTTTTTTTGTCTTACTTTCCTCTCACTTTCTTCACTTTCCTCACTTTCCTTCCACCTTCTATCTCACTTTCCTTCTACCTTCTATCTCAATTTCCTTCCACCTTCTATATCACTTTCATCCCACTCTTTGTCTCACTTCCCGCACGACACTCATCAGCACCCAAAATCTTCAACTCTGTCACGTCTATCATAACAAGATCCTGCTAAGGTAAGTTCAGATATTCAATATCTTCTTCTTTTCTGGATGAAGCGTCATCTGCACTGTTGCACTAGAGGCGCGAAATCTTCCGGTTAAATTTGAGCGTGTCTTGAGCGGATGAACTCTTCGTTCTTTATCCATCGACTGCTGTTGCATCAGTCTACCTCGGCGTCATCGCAGAATACATCACGAAACACCTATGGCGTTCTGGTCTTTTTTTTTTCTTTTTTTTTTTCTTTTTGCGTTAAGAAGCTGACGATAGCGTCTCAGAGAGAGGTGAGAGCCGAGATCAAAGATGGAGTCTGGAGCCGGCGATGGTTGGCCTGATGATCCTCCGAAGAACGAAGGCGGAAATGAGGACAGCACTTGGCCAAATGATCTTCCGAACGCCCAAAATGACAGTGATAACACCATTGTAAGTTTCGCAATTTCTCAGGATCAAGTCTCTTTCCACATGATATCTAACTATTTGTTTCAGTGGACGCCTACTGAGTCGCTGAACTCTCCTCACTGCCTGCTCACGATCAAGAACGGAGACCGAACTTGGAAGTCAACCCCCACTGCACAAGACGCAGAGCTGATTGGTAAATGCGGAAACGAAACAATATCAGTCAAGCTCAAACTCGGCACTGCTACCTTTTCTCCGATGATGCTCAAGTACCTGAAGCTTGAGTTTCATCTCTACGAGGGCAAGTTATCTGACACCCGCATTGCCGAGGCGCTGGTCTATTTCAACCAAATGCAACACATCACCGTTGTTGACCTATCCATGGATGATACTCAGGAAGCTCTGGAGAAACACCACGCTGAAGCTGTAGCACGATCGGGTGCGATCAAGGTGTCTCTTGCTACGTCCCGAGTTACTATGAACACGTCAATCCAGCAACGCTTCTCATTGAACGACTTCTACAATCGCGAGATGCACAATAACCCAAAAGTTATTTCACACGGAAGCAGATGTGACGACTTGATTACCATCAAAAAGGCTCTTGAGTCACAGGGTGTCATCAACATTGACCTCTTGCTCAACAAACCTCTCATCCGTAGCGGAGAGGACTTCACGGAGGTCCTGCAACATTTGTTCTCACTGGCACATGAAGCGGACACACTGAAGTATCCAATGGACGCATGGTTTTCAAAGAGCGACCGAAGTCACGACTTGCCTCTCGGACATGTCCCCAGACTTGACGGCACTCTGCCTCGGGGACTAGTCAAGCAGCAGCCCCTGGTGCGTTTTCAAAACGAAGACCAGTACATGATCACTCAGGTCGTCGGTTCCGTGAATCAAGCGTTCGCAGAGCTAGTTGCAGCTCAAGAAGTGGTGTCAACTGAGTTCTCTGCGCATGTCGTCCCTCTGCGAAGCTCCAACAACAACTCTCAGTTCGTGGTCATTATCAAGCCCAAGGGACATGACATCTACCTCCCAACGTATGGAGAGACTTGCCACATCCAGATTCCCAATGCCAAGCTCAATCGCTCGGTTGTTCTTCCCGATGTGGCTGAGGTGGCGGAGTCGCTCCTTGATTTTGTTCACTTCCAACGCCAGGCGAGAGCTGAAAAGTTCATCAAATCTGTCCGTGGAAAGCTTTCAAAGCTCATGGATTCGGAACACGAAGATGAGGTCATCCTGAGCTTGCGGGCCGCTGATGATGAGTCTCCTTTAGCTCACGAGACTCGCATTACAAACTTTGTGATGGACAACACCAACTCCTTGGTTTCCAATGACACCGAGACAGTCATCGAAGATGAAACCATCTGGTTTCCAGCAACAAGAATGGACTTCAAGTTTCCCAAGGTCCCACACGATGCCCAAACATATCTGGCATCATGCCCTCTTGAGGCGAGAGACGACACGGCAGTAGACCACAACGCGCGAAAGACAATCTCTGTGGAGCTACCCTTCGTCGAGCTGGACACATCTGTTTCCCTTGATGACTATATGGAGTCAGTTCTTGCTGATGAGAAGCAACAAAACCTCACAGCCTTTGTTCGACGCACCACCTCAGACAAGACGATTCGCGCAGAGGTATTTGCTATCAATGCGCTCCACAACCCTGAATCAGCCAAGCAGAACGTGACAATCGGAGCTCGCAACATCGATGCTTACAAGTACATTCAGGGGTTTCAGCCTGATAACGCGCCCTCCGTTAATCTGCATGAAAGGTTTCCAGTTCTTGGGGAACTCTCTGGGCTCGACCATCAATCACCATCGTCTTCCTGCCCCGAGAAAATCGAATCGCAATACGAAAAACTGGACTCGGCCAAACAAATGATCATTCGTCATCTCGACAATCTGCCCGCGGGCTTGGCCTTTATTCCGGGAGTCGCAGGCTCTGGAAAAACAGAGCTGATCAAATTCATTGTTGCAGCATGCACGTTCGGACAGGGAACCGCAGAGCCCGTGCCAACACTTTACCTCGCTCCAAACAACCAGGCGGTAGATGACATGGCCATCAAGTTCCAGGAATACTTTGAGAAGCTGGATCTGGCGGGTGCTCCGGATATCATACGTCTATACGGTTTAGACTTCGAGTTCAAATCTGTCACTCGTCTTCTTGCGCCTGGCCTCGACCACTCTTACCAGTACTTCGACGAAGACAAGGCCCAGGATGTCATCCAAGAAATGGACTCCGAGGCTCAAAGTAAAGATCCGACAGACCTAGCCTACCAATTACTTGAGGTTTATCAGTTTGAGAGAATGTGTCTTGACATGAATAAGCATCAAAAGAAAAGTTGCTCGAAGCGAGCTCGGTCCACTAATGTGTCCGCAGATACCGCAGCCGTTGCATATTACCGGGCTCACATAGACAAGTATCCCGAAATCCGTACCATCCTCAGAATCGGCGACCGAGATGGCCGTTTGAGAGATGATGATCTCAAGGCCTTGCGGATGTATGTCAAAGGCGTTTTCAACGACATGCTATTCGATTTCAAGGGAATCATCTGCACGACACCGGTGGTTTCTGCCAATGCAATGGTAAAACGGTTCGCAGCCCAACTGGTGTTCACAGACGAAGCCGCACGCCAATCGGAACTCAGCTCACTCATCAGTATCTGTCACTACAGTCCTTGTGCTTGGTTCTACTTGGGAGACCCAGAGCAGCTCAAGCCTCACGTTAGTGAAGAAGCCAAGTTAACTGACAACCCGTTCCTCAGACAGATGTCTGTGTCTCTACTCGAGAGAGCAGTCTTGGCCGGTGTCGAGCTGGGATGGTTGACAGTTACTCATCGCCTCCGAGGAAACCTTTCACCGCTGCCGTCCAGGATCAATTACGGAAATCTCATGACAAACTATCTTGACGACATGAATTGGACTCCTTCAACTTTGGCATTCGTAGCTGAGATGAAAAAGCTACTCGGCGAAGACACGTGCCAAACAGAACCATCTCGTGTGGTCGTGCAGTTTCCCTTTTCCAAGTCGACTCTGGCTGGCAATTCATCCAGGAACATCACGCACGTACGATGGGTCATATCTCAAGTCAAGAAGATGTTTCGGAACCCAGAGCTGCAGAATGTTGACTCTACTGGGAAGGCCAGGTTTCTGATTCTGCCATTGTACAGAGCTCAAGTTGACTTGTACCGGAAAATGCTGCTGGATGAGCGGAAACAGAGAAACATCTCAGCCGAGGACTATCAGCGGATCGAAGTCCGAACCCTTGACTCTGCCCAAGGTGAGGAGCGAGATCTCGTCATCGTCGATTATGTGCAGACACGCAAGCCTGGATTCTGCTTGGATCCAAATCGTAATTGCTTGGCCACGACTCGAGCAAAGCAATGCGAGATTCTCATCATCAACGCCGGGATGGTCAAGGATCCACGTGCCGAGAAAAGCAAGGTCGGGCAGATTCTTGCAAACGCCATCGAACTTGGGTATGTCTTGGAGGTACCATCGTGCACCAACTGCCAGGATCCAAGCCACACAGACGATGACTGCACTATGACTGTGAGTGATGGGATGGAATGAGGATAGGTCATCAGATGGATGATGGGATGGATGATGGGATGGATTATGAGATAGATGGATTAAAGAACATGTCACCAGACAGGCCATCAGACGAGTTACATCGTCGCAGTCGAAGCATTAGTTTCGGGTTGTTCGTATAATATACCCATGGCTCTGAATTCATGTCTAAGTAACTCAACATCAGAAAGGGAAAAGGGGGCCATCCCCCTCCACCCGTATCTCCACCATCAGCCGTCCTCCCAGAGCCGCCGGCTCATGATGATGGGCCTCGCCGGGTCCCACGGCCCGTAGATCTCGTTCTTGTACTTCTGCAGGCCGATGAGCCACCAGCTGCACCCGCCCATGGCGACGGCCGAGATGAGCACGCTGACGACCATGCCGGCGACGGCGCTCTTCCACGGCCACCCGGCGGCGGTGGCGGCGGTAGCGGCGACCCCGCCGTCGTCGCCCACGATGACGCCCACGCCGGCGCCGGCGCCGAGGACGAGGAGCGCCGTCATGGCGTAGTTGTAGCCCGAGCTCCGGTGCCGCGCGTAGCGCCGGAAGACGGGGAACAGGCCGAACACCTCGATGCTGAAGAGGGTGAGGCTGAAGACCTGGCCGGTGGAGGGCAGGCGGCTGGCGAGCACGGTCGAGGCCATGAGGGCGGCGTTGGTCGACAGCGAGGCGGGGATGTTGACGCGGACGCCGCCCGAGTAGTCGAAGAAGAAGATGTTGATGGTCAGCAGCCAGAAGGACATGGCCCAGATGCTGTCGGGGGAGGTCGACTTGGTCAGGGACTTGAGGATGGGCGAGAGGCCGAGGAGCGTCGAGTAGATGAGGATGGCGCTCTTGACGGTGCTGAGGCGCTGGTTCAGCCGGCTGTTGTCGTCGCCCGGGAGGGGGAAGGAGGAGCGGCGGGGAGGGGCCTGGTTCATGATTTCCTGGCTGTGGCGGCGGTAGGCGGACTGCGAGGTCGCCGAGGTCGTGGAGATGAGTGAGCTCGCCGAGGCGGAGTGGGAGTGTCGCGTCGGGCGCTCGGGAGCAGCGGTGGTGGCGGCGGAGGAAAGGTTTGTGAGGGAGCTGGCGGCAGTCGTTGCTGCCGAGGTGTCGTCGGCGTGCGACGGCGGGCGTCGCATGCTGCTCGTCCTCCGGCTCGGTTCCCTCCGGCCGGCGACGGTGGCACCGCCGGCCAAGCGGCCGAGCTCCTTGCGCTCCTCGTCGGCCTCCCAGCGCTCCCACAGCAGCCAACCGAGGAAGGTTGCCAGGCTGCTGAAGGACACGACCGAGGTGGGCGGCACGCGCTGCTTCTGTATGAGAACGAAGCAGACGATGAAGATGATGACGGAGCAGACGTGCTGGACGATGACGGTGGAGTCGGCGACCAGGGGCCAGAAGTCGTAGGGCTGCAGGCGGGGGTTGCGTTGCAGGCTCTCGAGGAAGGTATCCTGGTCGGTGTAGTTGTCCGGGTAGCTCTGCTTCACCCACATCAACTTCTTCCAGGTGCGCTTGCGCGTGCGGCGGGAGCGGGAGCGGTCGCCGACGGTGCTGTGCCGGAGGTGGGCGCGGTGGGCGCGGTGGGCGCGGTGGTGGTCGGGCGCGGCGGAGGCATCGGGAAAGGAAGGGATGGGTCGGCGCGGCGGCGAGGTGGCCAAGAAAGCATCTTCGGGAGCGAGGCGAGAAGGGTCTTGGCGGGTGATGTTGGTGTTGCTGTTATTGGTAGTGTTGGTGCCGCCGGTGCTGGAGCCTACCGGAACGGTGGAGGAGCGGGTAAGGGGCGGGGGGAGAGAGGCAAAGTCCGTTGGCGTCGTCGGCGACATGGGGCCGGGACTGCCGAACACGGCGTGCGAGCGAACCAAGAGAAAGGATAAAAAGCCCGAGGCTCAGTTCAATGGCTTCGGGCGGGATGCGTATTCGATGATTGCCGGTGCTAGGACCGAGCGAGAGACCCTTTCTCAGCCTTGCCGGCGCGAACAGACTGTTGTCAGGGCGAAGGCGTGCAAGGCTGAAGCAGATTGGACGAGACTAGCCCATAAGCCGAGAAGAGAGGCAGGTCCAAGAAAAAAAAAGAGAAAAAGGTACGTGCACAGACGGGGAAAGGAGATTGGTGGGGGGTGACCGAGTCAGTGGGCTGCGACGGTAGTGTAGGCACGGGTCCATGGATGACTCTCCATGGATCATCGACAAGGGCTCTCAGGTCAGTGGCCCGATTGGGAAACCCTTCTTTTCTTTTTCCCTCCCAGCGAGCTAGCTAGCATCAAATGTCGGCGGCCGAAAAGCGCGGCTCCCGGCCGCCGCTGAGCTAGGGAGCCGAGCCTGTAAAATCCCCAAAACAGCTACCATAGGCAGCTCAGGGCCGTCGTAGTATTCTTATTTCGTGGAGTGACAGTGGCTTGGCCGATGGACCGGTCGAGATCTCGTTGCCAGTTTCTATCATGCTTAACTCTCTTTTCTTGGTTGCAGGCCTGTGTACTGTGTACTGTATACAGCTTAGCTTAGCGGCCTACGAGTCGCGACTCATCAACACCTCGAGGCCAATCCGCCCCGGCTTCTCAGCGACTGACGCGTAGCCCATCGTCCAAACAGTTGGAGAGGGCCGTCCACTGCCCCGGATCCCTCGATGTCACTTTCTCTGATTGGGGAACTCAAAAGCCAGCAGCTTGCGCGTCTGCCCCTTGGCACGAGATGGAGAGACGTTGTTGAGTTTCTGGTTCTCGAGGCGAAACCAGCCCAGAAGTCCCGTTTACCGCCTGCCACACCATCAATCAACTCTGTCGAGATGATACGACCCGCGGGATCACCATCCCACTTCCAGTGCCATGTAATACGAGTTGCGCATGGCGTGCGCCCGACTCTCGAAGGGAGAAGGTCCCGAACGGAGTTCCACTCACCCCGATGGGAACTGGCTTCGCCGCACCCCGTAAAACCCTTGGCCCGTTGGGATACGAGGGAGAAAGTTCTAGAGAGTGGCTTACTGCAATCCCCATTCCAATTCCCAATTCCCACAGCTACGTGTATAACTTCTAGCCTGGACATTCTTCGCCAGGTGGCTCGCAGTAGCACAAAGCTTGTTACTCGTCCCCTGGGCGGCCCATCATTGGGTAGCCCCCCACCCCTGGCTGCAAGTGGCTCTAGATTGGTGATTGGTTTCTTTGCAAATATTGTTCCCTCACCCCTTGCCCTTTCCAGACGCTTTCCCCACATTGTCGATTGTTGTTTGCTCTCTCGCGTGTCCGCCTGGTCTCCCCCGAAGGCAGGCTTATCCATGCTGCCCCCAATTTTTCTTCCTTTCGCTCTTTTCCTATTTTCTGATTTTTGATTTATATACGGAGTGCGTAGAGTTTCTATTCTCCCTGGCTCGTCCCAGTGCTCTTCGCGCTAGCACGGTCGAGGCCGACTTGTCCAGGTGCCTAAGATCGCCTTGCAGGGACTAGGCCGGACAAGCGTGCAAACCGGCTTGGATGTGGCTGCTTATTTTGGAACTTTTTGACGGTTGAAGAAGGCAAACCCGGTGACAGGAAAGGGGCGAAGCCCACTCTCGAGTCGCTAGTGTTTCGACAGGCCGAGTGTGAATGGCCTCACCCTATGTCCGATGGACGCCAAGCCAACCGTCGCGTAGACAGTCTGCTCCTGAGGCTTCGTTACATCAAATGAATGACAGGGCGATCTGCGACAAACCGGCTCGACATACTCTTTCTCAAACAACAAATCTCTTGGCAGGAATTGCCGGGCATTTGTAGGTGGAGAGTCTGCGGGCCCGGTGACCAGTAAGGACCCATTTCCCTTGGGCACCGCATGGTATTGTCGGTGGGTTGGTCTGTTGAAACCGTTTTGACGTTCGGGCAATCTCACCATAGACGGCAAGAACAGGCGGGTTTCGCTGTTTCTGCCGATGTGGGCCTCGGTTGCGATGGAACAAAACTGTCACAGGAGAGGCTCCAGTTTCCCAGGACAGATGGGGTTCAAGGGCGGCGAACCCACCGGAGAAAGACGTCCACAGCGTTTCAAACCCCCGCGATGCCTCCAAAATAGCCAACGTGCAACTGCTACTGCTGCTGGCATATCTCGGCTTCCTACTGCATTCATACCAAGTACTCCGTATGGCGATTCCAAAACCCCCCGAAGCAAGGAATGCGGGCTGGCGCTTATCAGTGGGACCTTGTCGTCGATCTACTAACGCTTGCTTTGCAGTGTGACACAGTCACTTGTAAACGCATTTAGATTTGCCCCTGGCAGTGGTTCGTACTTGGCAGAGGGACCGTGTTGGCCGTAGGCGTTTCGGTGCTGTTATCGTACGATAGGGGTTGAAAAAAAAAAAAAAAAGACGAAAAGACAAAATAAAAATTCATTGCAAGGCCGTTTCCCGTCTCATGGACACTCAATGGCGCAGTGCATAACAAGGCAGGTTATTGCTGACATGTGCCTCCCATTCTATTCTGTCTTGGGTGCATTGGCCCGGCGGCAACTGTGCAATTTCAATTTCGTCTGTACGAGGTCTGTGGCACGGCAACGCCAAGCATCGTGCCTGAGCACGGACTGGTTGGGCAGGTCGTGGCCTATACCAAGTACGTACATCGTATAACATACCGAGTGTACGGAGTACGCATCCTGGACCAGGCGAATCAAAAGGAACTTGGGCATCGGCTTGTCTCGTTGATGTCGACATAAGCCTGAGCTGGGCCACAAGATGAAGGAGAAAGAGGTTAGCAGACCTGTGTCTGTGCGAGCCAGCGTCCAATTTCGTGCTTGTAAGATGATTGTCCGTCTTTTTTTTTTTTTTTTTTTTTTTTTATATGCTCGATGCAGAATTTGATTGGTTCTGTCTTTGCACTGAGTGCCGGCTGCTTGCGCCCATGCATTCTCTTTTTTTTCTTCTCTCCGCTTGTGGTTTGCTTCCTTTTCCCTTTCCGAAAAAGAATGGCCGCCGAGGAGGGAGGGGAGGAGGGCTGGGCTGGACGCGGCCGTGTTTATTGGTATCTGTGGGAGTTCCGCTCGCAATGGGTCGGTATTATGTGATACTCCCTGTTGCAAATTGTAGGTGGACGACGGGTTGGAGCCGCCGTTCCTGTCCAATTTCTCTCTCTATCACTCTGCGGTAAGTCAACAGCAGCACAAACCCTGGCTTAGACTCACACAGGGTAAGCAGCCACCCACTTGCTCCAGCTTCCACATGTGGAAGGCAGGGTGGGAAATGAGGGTCCGGGTGGGTTTTGGGAAAGCTTGATTCTTTTCTGTGATGTGCCTGGCACGGTGCCCTGTACTAGCCTAGGTAGGTACCTCCTGTTAGACTGGTACCTACCTAGCCACCTAGGTAGGTAGGTAAGATGGGTGTAGGTAGGTAGCCTGGGCTCCCTCCTCCTTCCTCCCTCACTCTCTCCGTTGTTCCTGCCAATAAGCACATGCACAAATCACGAGGCAAGAAGGGGGGGGGGGGGCGCCCCATGGCTTGTTTGTGCTGTTCGTCTTCTCTTTCAATTCAATTCAATTCAATTCAATTCGACGTCTTCCTGACCAAAGCATGAGGATGGCAACCAAGGTCGTCAACACCAAGGGCGGTCGGTACCTTCGGCACGGTGCAACGTCTGGGACTCTTCCCTCCATCAGGAACCATCCCATCTTTGAGCTTCACCTCAAGCCTGTGACGGCAAGCGTCGAGTCTTTTCCAGGCATGAGACCCGCAGTTCTTCCGGCTCTTCTCCTGCTCGGTCGCCGCCGGCTTGCGCATGGGACCCCTCGTCCGTCTTCCGACTGTAACAAATGGAAACCGACATCGGCATGCATCTCTGTTAAGACTCACGCCGGGCGACTAGCCGTACCCAGAGGACCTAATCAGCTAACTAAACTAAAGCAACTTGGCAGTGTGCCGTATAGGAATGCCACCGATCCTAAAAGCGCCTCCCAGTGGTTATGATTCTGCTTAGAGTTCACTAGCGTCACGAACAATGCATCCTGCTGCTCACTCCGCGCCCAGCTTGGCACCGATCTCCAACGTCTCGATTGAATTCGTCGTCTGTCTGGAAACAGAAAGCGGCCCTTTGGGAAGTTGTTGGCAAACCCAGAGACGACCTTCCATGTCATGGCTCAAACCACCAATGGGGCCCGAGCATGCCGAGTCTTCAAAACTCGCAAAGACACAGGGAGGCCCGCGAGCCTTCACCAGAAACAATCATCGTTCGGTCGAGTGAATCAAATCGGCTATTCGGCAGTTTTCCCTCCTCTCCATCGCAGATCCCCATGGTCTGTCATCCATCGGGCGGTGTGTCATCGCCGTCGGCCTGCTCACATTACGCACCTATCTACATTGTTTGTCTGCATTGTCCAATGCCTATTGCAGGGCAAGCAGCGGGCTACTGCCACCTCTTAGCCAGCCTCGAAGTTTAACAAAGGATCCTTGGGCCCATGTTTATTGGTGCCTCGGGCAGATGATGCCATGTTCTTTCTTTGTCTGCACCGGTGCAAGCCCCCCCCCCCCCCCCCAGCTGAGGGCTGGTGGAGAAGCATGCAGCCAGAGGGAGAGAGGGGCCATGTTGGAATTGGAAAAGCACCGGCTGCATCGCACAGGGTGCACCGCTGTCCCCTTGTACAGGGTCCAGAGCATCCCTGCGTCCAAGGCTCAGCCTAGATCCTGGTCTTGGCCTGGAGCCAGCATCCGCTCCCCACCTCAGCCCCTCGCGCCCGTTTTAGGGGAGTAGAGCAGGGCCCCGGGGGAGAGCTGGCTGAAGGGGGAGAGAGAGTGTGCACCACCGCATACAGAGAGGAACAGAGACACCACCGCTCCCGGGTTCGTACAAGCTATGGCATGCCTAAATGCGTTCGTCGGCCTGGTCTTGTCTTGCTTCCTCTGATCATACATAACACTCTACCACCCATGCATGCATGCCTGGTCTCCCCTTCTCCATACTTTGCCCCTACCTACCTAGTCAACGGATGCTTCCATCCTAGCCCCGAGCCCCTCGACCCAGACGACTTGCAGTCCAAGACGTCTCTCTCTTCCTATATTACTTTCAGACCTCGCTCGCCTTGGCACGTCAGTCCCGCGAACACCACCTTCTTCTCATCTGGTCTTTCCTCCCCTTCCTCCTATCAGTCGTCTCGCCTCATCTGCCTCACTCCGAACAACTTAGGAACACACCAAAGCCGTTACTTGTTTTGTTTCATTCGCTTGCGAGGTTTCCTGCCCACCATTACCCTGCCGACCCTCTCCGCCCGGGTTCTTTTGCCCGTCTAACTTTCTGGCCGCCTCGCCGCTGCCTCTAATAGCTCGGCTCCCCAGACTTCTTCACCCAGAATTCTCATAACCACTACCAGCCGTCTTAATCTTTGACGGGCTTTGGATATCGGTGAAGTCCATCACTGAGGGATAGCATCGCGACGACATCACCTGACACCGCATAATCTATCTACACGACGATTTATACAACACAAAAAAACTCATTTAGACCTCATTACCAACAAAATGAAGCCCTCAACACTGCTCCATGCTATGGGCTTCTCACAGCTGGCTTTGGCTGTCCCCGTCCCAGCAATTATTTCGGACATGGCCGCCCACGTCCAGAACGAGGCATGGCGTCTCGCCACAGTCAATCGCGTGCCCATAAGCCACACACCACCAGTCTCCACCATTAAGGACGTCGAGGAATATGTCGGACACAGGATTGAATTCGAATTCGACAACCATCCAGTGTCGCCATCCGAAAACCTGCCCCCGTCACTCGTTCTAGCCGCGCCTCAGCCACTGAAGACCACCTACCTTCAATCACTCTCCACGAGGCTGCGATCTGGAAAGGAAAGAGTGGTGGACGTGGCGGGCGACGGTACTCCCGAGACGATCGTCCCGATGACTCTCGAGGAGGGCCTGGCAAGGCTGCTGCCGTCAAGGACTCGTCTCGGCTGCTGGAGGCACATTCAGGTTCCTAAGCCTACCATGTCCATCTTTAAGGAGCACCCCGACTTGATCGTCCTCGGGGCCTTGCTCGCTCTGGTTGTCATCCTCCTGGTACTGGAGACTGTTGGCACCACATTTCAAGGGTGAGTTTCACGCTCGCAATAACACACGGAACACCATCAACTGACTCTCTCTTTAGGGTCCGTCAACACTACGATCCCAAGGGGGAGATTCGCTTGGAGGGAGACGAGAAGCCTTGCAAGTCGCCGTCATTCAGGTGTGATTCGGTGCCTTACGACAATGAGCTCGATGCCGAAGGTCTGAGACCATGACGGATGACGAAAGTGCAAAGAGAAACAAGAAAAGAAGAAAAAACACAAGGACAAAAAGTCTCATGCCATGAATTCTAATGTGGATATTAAATATTGTGATACCATATTTTTACACCTTTAAAGCGCGGCGCTGGTCTAGGCGGGAATGACAATAACTACTATTTCAACCAACGTGTTTTCCATGTAATATCCAGTGAGTTTACCCTGTCGCGTTGGCAGCTCTGGGGAGTGCCATACTACACAGCGGATAAGGAAGAGACGCGGGGGGAGCACCGTTGAGCTGCTTCGAGATACACGACCTGGTGAAATGGGAGGACAGGCTACAAGCCACCGACGGCCCGAAGCGAAGAAAAGGTGCTGCTGATGCGGCAATCACCCTATGATCCCGACATTCAGGCATCTCGCACCAGGCCGTGTCTCACTACCATCGTAAAGGGGCCTCGGGAGAATGTTAGCAAACAGTATTGGTGCCATGTGTGGTAGAAGACACAAGCGGCTCAAGCTCTGGTGCCATGCGCCATATACAGCGAGAGAGGCTCGTCAACTTTCCCAGCGTCATAGGGCTTGCGAAAGGACTTCCATCCGAGGTAGCGGCGGGTCCCACCTGCCGACCTACGTCTGACAGGACGGGTCTGTAGTATGATGGGGATGGGGGCCGCGGGTCACGAAAGGAGGGCGGTTTTGTCTGCGTCATATGTTCTTCGACGCCTTTGACTTACCCATCCACGTCGCTTCCCGATTGGGTTATGTATGTAGCGTCAACGGTGGTGCGAACAATGTACGAACCGTCATTCGCTAGCCGCCCGCGTCGGGCATGATGACGACTTGGGACGCCGACACGCACAAAGAAGGCCATGGATGGTGACGTTGTCCTGTTGGACTTCGGGGCCCGTCGACCAGTCGACAGCGGGACATGGTAATCAAGCCCTTTTTTTTCTCTTCTTCTTTTTTTTCTTCTATTTTTCCTCTCAGCGGTACGCGATCCAAAGTAAATTACTAAATAGGTAAAGGAAGAGAGGATGGAAACGGCGGCATCGTTCACTCCGAAACTAATTCGCCGGGGACGTTTAAACGGAACTCGGCAGCACAAGCTTTCTGCCATGCTCCACAGATCATCGTGGGGGCGGAAGTCTCGTGAAATGATGCCGGTGGCACGACGCCCTCCCACTCACCGTTTCTCGATGACTTCGGTAGTGCCGTTGGCCGGTAATGCCGATGGCCAATGAGGACAAAACAAAAAGGACCGGCCATCTCGCCTACGACAAATGTCGCCTCGGAGATGGTCGCTTTGGAGCCATTGCGACTCGCGGTTGCCAAACGCCCCTTGCCCCCCCCCCTCCCCCCCCCCAAATGTTTCTATAGAGCAATCTGCCCGGAAGAAGAAGACAGCAGGGACCGCCGAGCAAGGTAGTAGAGGTGATATGGTGGTATTAGCTTCCTAATCGAGGTTGCCGTACCAGGCTTGGGGTGACCAAACACAGGAAGAACAAGGCATGCCGGGTATCACTGCCTGGTCTCGGGTCCGGATGCACGGGTATTCTGGATGGGGTGTGTGTGTGTGTGTTACCGGGATCTATTATTTGTGGGCGGCAGAAACGTGCCGGGTGGGCTCCTTGTGCGCTGGCAAGCCGTGAATCGGACCCCGCCGTGAATCGGGGTCAAACCCCCAGTGTACCCAGCTGAATTGAGGATACAGGAGTTTGAGGCCCCTTCAAAGACGATTCAGAGTACGTCCCAGTTCCTCGTAGTAGTGTAGGAGGGTGTTGATGATGATATGGTTAAACTGACCCGTCACACCGCAAGATCGAGGGTCCTTGCTCTATGTCGTACTGTTTCATGGATGGGGATTTCACATTCGGATCTAAAGGGACAAGACTGGAAACAAAAGGTAAAATTGTGTTACAATCACTGAACAGGGCTTCTCCCGTAACAGTCTCCAGCTGAAAGCTGGCACTGGACGCCTGACTTCCGCGACCAGCACCACAATACGATGTACATCTACATATGTGACACGGCCCGTACGTTCATCGTGCCCCGTAATGCTCGGCAGAAATAGCAACCTCCGCCCTCCCCCCTCAGCCCATACCGAGGAGCCCCCTTATGCTTGCCTTCCACCTTGCACTTCAAAAGACGCGGATATTTTCGGTGCTAAGCTTGATGGACTTGGCCCAGGGGAGGCAAAGACAGAGTTCTCTATCGACATATTGCCTGTTTGTTCGAGCATGTAGGGGCGTAATGTCGGGTGCTATATGGTCTAAACCGTTGCAATCTTGGTCGCCGCCCCCTCTGTGGTACCGGGCCGCTAGGTGCCAACTTCTCGACGTGGGGCGTTTCTTGCACCATGCCAGCGCAAATTGTCTGGAGATATTGAGTTCTTATATCTTGTCAATATAGGGGGCAAGTATTCCTTGTTTAACCACCCGAAACGAATGTCATACACAGTGTCTCAAAAGTTTCAACGTAACACTGAGTATCTATGTTCTTGCGATGTCTTGCGGATACCCGGACGTCGGTGCAATACACTTCGTTGCATGACAATAGCAATAATAGGCTTAATCGTTTGCCTAAACTAACCGGGGAAGAAGAAGAAAAGGCAAGAGACACACAATCAGAGTAATACGAAAGGGAAATGATTAGGCTGATATTTCAAACGGGCCGCTTATCGCATAACCACGGTCTCACTTCAGCTTATACAACCATCTAACGGACTCAATACTTGTTGGCGAGAAGACGGGCAGACTCATTTACCCACCGCGGCTTCCTACTGACGCATGCGAACGCAGGCCATCTCGAGCACGTTTTGCTGTTCGAGGCCCCTATTGTACAATTTGACAAATGGTATCGCTCAAAGGGGCGATCAGACTGTCAGGACACTGTGCAAGGAAAGCTTAGCATCGTGGAATACAAGATCAGTCCAGTAGAGGCTACTTGGGCATCTACGAGGTAGTAGCTGCGAACGGAGCCGCGCCACAGTGTTTGCCAATCATAAACGACCGGCTTATTGGCGAGCAGCCCCTCAGTGGCGGAGGAGTCGGAGTTACCGCGCCTGTGGGATCGGAAGAAAACGCTCTCGTCGGCCACGAACGCCAACGGATCCGAACCGGGCCGACATTGGATTTGTGGGTGAGCGTTCCGCCGTGCATACTAATGAGCGGGGAGTCGGAGCAAACGTGGATGCCTACCTCGCGACTTACATAGCCTTTTCGGTCGACCAATGATATCCAAGGAGCAACAGGTTGGTGTCTCGATCCGGCAACTCATATGGTGTCATGAAATGCCCACACTCACCCGCCCATTCACCTCCCCCAGGAGCCTTTATCTTGGGCGGGAAACTTGGCATGCAGCCCCTTTTTTTTCCACATGGTCATGCGGGAGTTACCTCCGATCGGACGGGCGTGCACACTCACCCCCGCTACAGGAAAAAGATGCACGACGGACCTCGTCCCATATACAGTGAGACAGTCCGACGAACTGGCGCACATCCAAGGCCTTCTCCCGTCCGAGAGACGGCGCCAGCATGTGGTGCGGGGTACGGATTTCCATCACATGCGAGGATGGCGGACTAGTCCATCGATTTGGGGACTCTCGGGCATCACATGTGATTTTTTCTTTCGTATTTTACGAGTTTCAATTCTACAAAACGGATCGCTCAAGGACCGCAATGTTTCCTTTCATAGGTAACAGGATATCGTTACGTAATTTTACAAGGCGCCGGGAGGGACTTGGGCTCAAAAGCACAGGACGTATAAACATGGCCAACAGCTGCCTATTTACAGCTTGTAAGGGCTGGGGCCGATCATGAGCTCGGGGCGGACAAGCTTGTCAAACTCCTCCTCGGAGAGAGCGTTGAGCTGGAGGGCGGACTCCTTGAGGGTGAGGCCCTTCTTGTGGGCGTTCTTGGCAACCTTGGAGGCCATGTCGTAGCCGATCTTGGGGTTGAGGCAGGTGACCAGCATGAGGCTGTCAGGCGTTAGCGAACAAGATCCATGCGGGAACAGGGGAGGGGGGGGAGGAAGGGTTGGGACTTACGATTCCTTCATGATGCTGGCAATCTTCTCCTCGTTGGCCTGCAGGCCGGCAACCAGGTTCTTCTCGAAGGAGCGCATGCCGTCGGAGAGGACGCGAACGCTGTGGAGAAGGTTGCGAATGACAAGAGGCTTGTAGACGTTGAGCTCGAACTGGCCGTTCATGCCGCCGATGGTGGTAGCGACGTGGTTACCCATGACCTGGGCGCAGACCATGGTGAGGGCCTCGCACTGGGTGGGGTTGACCTTGCCGGGCATGATGCTGCTGCCGGGCTCGTTCTCGGGGAGGATGAGCTCGCCGAGACCACAGCGGGGACCGCTGCCAAGGTAGCGGATGTCCTGGGCGATCTTGGACAGGGAGGCAGCAACGGTGTTGAGGGAGCCGTGGGCCTGAACGATGGCGTCGTGGGCGGCAAGGGCCTCGAACTTGTTGGGGGCAGTCTTGAACTCGGTGCCGGTCATCTTAGTGACCTCCTCGGCGATGGCCTCGGCGAAGCCCTGGAAGGTGTTGATGCCGGTACCGACGGCGGTGCCACCCTGAGCGAGCAGGCGAAGGTCGGGAAGGGAGGACTCGACTCTCTTGATGCCGGCGTCAAGCTGGGCGACGTAGCCGGAGAACTCCTGGCCGAGGGTCAGGGGGGTGGCATCCTGCAAGTGGGTGCGGCCGATCTTGATAATCTGCTTGGCGTCGAACTCGTCAACCTTCTTCTGGAGGGCGTCGCGCAGGCTCTTGAGGGAGGGAATGAGCTCGTTCTCGATCTCGAGGACCGCAGCGATGTGCATGACGGTGGGGAAGGTGTCGTTGGAGGAGGCGGAGCGGTTGACGTGGTCGTTGGGGTGGACGGGCTTCTTGCTGCCCTTGACGCCGCCGAGGATCTCGATGGCGCGGTTGGAGATGACCTCGTTGGCGTTCATGTTGGACTGGGTGCCGGAGCCGGTCTGCCAGACGACGAGGGGGAAGTGGTCGAGCAGCTTGCCCTCGGCGACCTCGGCGGCGGCCTGCTGGATGGCCTTTCCGATCTTCTCGTCGAGGCCGTAGCGCATGTTGACGGTGGCAGCGGCGCCCTTGAGGATACCAAAGGCCTTGACGATCGGCGGGGGCATGCGGTCCTGGGGCTGGTTGATCTTGAAGTTCTCGAGGGAACGCTCGGTTTGGGCACCCCAGTACTTGTCCGCGGGGACCTGGACCTCGCCAAAGGCGTCGCTTTCAGTGCGTGTCTCGACCATTCTGGGGGCGGTGGTGTGAATGCTTCGCTGGAGGGAGAAGGGCCTGGCCAAGTTGAATGAACAGGACGAGTTCATCGCGGGGTAAATAGCCGCGGGGGAAGAGGTGGTGTGTCGGGTCGAGCATGTGGACAGCCTCTTCGCGCATGTCCTCGGCACAGCGGTAAGCCGCGAGTTGGCCAGGCCGGAAGCGGCGCGACGAGCTGGCGCCGAACGAAGCATGTCGGGCGATGCTAGCCTTTTTTTTGGTTTTTTTGGAGAAATGGGGGAATTGGAGAGCAGAGAAGCGGCACTTGGAACTTGGATCAAGCCAATTGAGGTGAGATGACGTCGAGTGTGTATGGGAAGAGACACCTAAACGTAGTGCTAGATGTACCGAAGATCTCAAGAGACGGGGGGGGAAAATGAAGGAAAAAGGACTCGGTTGCAGGTAGTAACAAAAGTTCCATCGACTCCGAAATGGTTCCGTTGGGAGAGCTCGAACACCTGTGGAGCTTTGGATGGCCCGTGCAGCCGGCTTATCCCGATTGTGCCGATTGCACAGCAACGGCCGTGGTGATGCGGAGTATGCCGAAAGTCTCCGATTCTCCACGACTTACCTAATACTGATTACCTAAGGCCTCCGCAACCCCAAGCCCTTCCCATTGTGCGTGCGTGCTCGTAATCCCCACTCCCCCGAAGCCCCAACAACGTCGTCGTCGTCGTTGTTGGCCTAGCGGATATTGCTTGCATCACAGCAACAGTAAGAAGCAACCACCAGGCACGTCGTTTACCTTACCTAATGCACTTCGTACAGTATTCAGCCCCCAAGGCCCTTGCAGCGTCCGCAGCGTCCGCAGCGGGAGCAAGATGATAGGGCAGGTAGCCTAACAAGGCGGGTATCCCGGCCCCGCCCCGCTGCAACATGTCATCACACATCACCGTGGCCGCCAGGGCTACTTGGGCTGAGGCAGAGGATCCCCTTCGTCGCCGTCACCGCCGCCGCCGAACCCCATGAGACGGAGAACCTAGCGTGCCTAGAAGCACCGTGGACCCGTTGCTACGGACTTGCCGGTGCTCACAGCCCCTCGGCCCTCCTCCCCAGATCCATCCAGACTTTCACTTGTCCCCCCTCCCCCCCCCCGCTTCCGAAGTGCCGAAGGGGTCTTGGTGCACGGGGGGCCGGTGTTGGGAGGCAGGCTTGACACTGTTGAGGGCCCCAAGATTTGAGGCCATCACGGCCATTGGCCCCCTCAATACAACTACACAGCCCAGAGCGGAGAAAAACGATCAGCAGATCCAAGAAGTACACCTACCTTATCGCACTGGTCTGTTAATCTCAGGGAATGTCCCGGAGCCTTATTCGTCAGCAGCCCATAGCCAGCAGCCAGCGGCCCATGCAGCAGGCGGCGCGAGCTACTGTGGACAGCAACTCCTGACAGGGGACGATGCGAGCCTCCTCAGCTTCCTGCATGGCTGCTGTGGCTTGCTCCGGTCAAAAAGGGGTCGACGACGCTATGCAACTGGGTGGGTTTCACCTACTTTCAGCCCACCTTGCTTCTTATGGATGGCTGGCTGCTTGTAGCGCAGCCTGGCCATGCTTACACCCCATTTTCCCATATCCAGAGTCCCATCTGCAGACCCCTCTCTCATTTGCTCTTACATGTCGTTGCTGCCTACTCCAGCTTGTCTATATTTTCCTCCTCTATCCACCTCTCATCCTAGGCCGGAGCATTAAGCTCGAGTACTTGAATTCCGCCGTGCGCTCCTCAATTGAAGTAAAGAAGCACGCGGCATCCCATATTCTCCCATCCGATAAATTGAAAGAGGAGCCCGAGCCGCCCTCCACCTGTCCACAACCCACATTCTGACGAAAAGAGCCCCTCACCTCCCGTTCCGCACGTTTTGTCTCAACTCGAGCTCTAACCCCCCCACCCCCACCTTATTTGGCCTCTGATCCGAGGTTCAGTTTGCACTCCGACACCAAAAACAAACAGCGACAAACCCGGCTCGAAACCCAGGAACATCCCAACTGTTGCCATGTCTCTCCAGGTCGACGACCGCAGTCGCCGCACCCGTTCGCGCTCTCCGGGCCGTCGCGAGCGCAGTCGCAGCCGCGGCCCCGCGCCTCCGGCCATGGTTGATCCCCCGCGTGAGCCCAGCTACGCTTACCCGGAGGACGATCTCAACGACAGATATGCCCGCGACAGAGGGGCGCAAGTTGTCACCGCCGAGCCCGGTGCCGGCAATACCATGTCGGGAGCCATCCCCTATCCGGAGGACGGCAGCGACGCAATGTTCCCTGGCACCAGGTCCCTCTACGATTACGACGACCGCCGCGGCGCATCATCCTACCGCCCGCCCTCTTCTCCTCAAGACAGCTACTACCGCAGCTCGCGCGAAACCTACCAAGACCAGCAAGCGCGCGCCTCCGACCCTCGCGACGACGACAAGTTGAAATATCTTCCCGCCAAGTACAGCAGTCACAGCCGCAGCAATAGCCGATACGGCAACGAGGCTGAATATGCGCCCCCCAAACCCCCTCGTCCAGACACGGGCGACCTATACCCCCCGCCAAGCCTCCTCGCCCCGTCTCTCCCGGCGGCTACGCTTATGCTCAGCCTCAGCCGTACGAGTACGCAAAGACTGATGAGAAGGCCAGAAAGAAGGAGGAAAAGAAGAAGGCGCTAGAAGAGAACCTTGCTTATGGCTTTGACCCTCATGCGTCCAATACGGGCTTGAACCCCGAGCCCCGGTACTCCGGCCGCGTGCCGAGCCCAGGACCACAGATCTCGGCTGGCGCTCAGGCATACTACGGCAACGACCCCCGTACCTCGTCAAACATCTTGACCGTGGAGCCTGGAAGTCGCAAGCGTGACAAGTCGCCCCAGCCGCCGACTCGTCGCATGTCAAACTTGTCTGTGAACACAGGCCACCACTCACTCAACATGAGCATGTCGTTGGCGAATGCGCCAGGATCACCGTTGCTGGAGTCGTATCACGGTACATACCAGGATATGTCACCAATGCCATCACCAATGCTGCTGGCCTCCTCGCCACATGATCTCCATGTCATGGAGCCCGTCTCTCCGCTCGGCTCTGACGACGAGGGCCGGCGACGTCGGCGGGCGCGGTTCCACGATACTGAAGACGATGCTGCAAGGATTGCAAAGGCACTCCGCAGCGACAGGAAAAATCCCGACACGGAGCCTCTGATTGAAATTCTGCCTGGCCTTACTCACGAACAAATCATGGATCTTCGTAAGGAGTACAAGGCGCTTGTTAAGACTGGTCCGGAGCGCAAAGGTGTCAACGTGGCCAAGCACATCCGCTCCCGCCTCAAGGATTCTGAGCCGAACCTCATGAAGGCCTGCTACGCCACCGCGCTGGGCCGGTGGGAGAGCGAGGCGTACTGGGCTAATTTTTGGTACCAAGGCGACAAGACGCGCCGGGAGCTCCTCATCGAGTCCCTCATGGGCCGCACGAACCACGAGATTCACCTCATCAAGGAAGGATTCAACGACAAGAAGTACGACAACAGTCTGACCAAGTGCATGAAGACCGAGCTGAAGGAGGACAAGTTCAAGAAGGCCGTGCTGCTGGTGCTCGAGGAGCGCAGGATGGAGGAGTACGACCCTTACGGCCGCCGCCTCGCTCTTGACTACCACCTCGTCGAAGATGACGTTGCCGATCTGCGCAAGGCCGTCAAATCGGACAAGGGCGGTGAGTCGCTCATGATCGGCATCGTCGTGCAGAGAAGCGATTCGCACCTCCGCGAGGTGCTCAAGTTGTACGAGCGTACCTACAAGTCCAACTTTGCCCGCGACGCACTCAAGAAGAGCGGCAACCTCGTGGTAAGTGAAGTGTCTCTTTTTGAACCTAGAAACGCAGTTGTCTGACCTTTTCACGCAGGGAGAACTTCTGGCCCACATTCTCAACGGCGTCATTAACAAACCCGTCCGCGACGCCTTGCTCGTCCACCACGCGCTCACGGCGAGCCGCAAGGACGAACTGCGCCGCGAGCTGCTCATCTCGCGCCTCGTCCGCTTCCACTGGGACCGCCACCACCTGGAAGCCATCAAGCGCGCCTACCGTGAGCGGTACGGCCGCGACATGCAGGATGCCGTCCGGGAGGCCACGAGTGGCGAGTGGGGTCTCTTTTGTAGGGAGTTGTGCATTTACCGCATGCCTAACGATGTCAAGAGCTACGAAAGGGTTTCTATGCAAGTCCGATGAGAACTATGCCCGAGGGAAGGAGTATATTGATTATTTGAAAAGGGGAAGGCAAGAGATGTAATGAGACCATGCGGTATGGGAGGCTGCTTGAACGAACTTTATGCTATATCCAGTGCGCCGTTGATAAAATAAGATATGACCATCTTAGATCAAGATGCCCTCCTTTTTTGATATCTCCTCCGCTCCCACGTAAGGGGGACAGAGACGTGACAAAACCATCAACCCCTTCTAAATCGTACGACTCTCCCACCCCCGTCCTCTCTCCTCGACACAATCATCCCCTCTCTTTCTCGAACCGCGTAGGAGCTCCCCTCTGACCGGTTGTCAACCTCCCCAGTCCTCTCGCCCAGATCCGACCTCCTCACCCAACTTCTCGTCCGCCCCCTGTTCCATGCATCCTCTACACCACCACCGCCATCGCCCCTGAAGTTGCTTCGGGGCTCATCGTCCCACAGCGCACCATGCATGGCAAATGAACCCCCGCTATCCACACTCCCATTCCGCCTCCGCCGTCTCCAGCCCCTGCTTCCGGCGGGTCCGTCCCGCTCATGATACCGATACCCTTCCTCGGGGTCCATCCTGCTCGATGCACTACGGGGGGACGCTTCGAACTCCTCGAACAGCAGGGTCCGTCGCCGACCGCGTCTCGGCGGCTGCGATCCATCCGCGTCGTCCAGGACCTCTTCGCAGCGTCTCGGCGCCGTCCGGTGCCTGGCTGCATACCGTCGCCCGGTGGCCGCCGGAGACGGCCGCAAGTCTCTGCACGAGCCAGGGCCGCCGCAAAGACATCTCATCGTCATGCCTCGGGACATCAGGCGACCGGGGCAGTTGTCGATTTTGAGATCCCATTTCTTCGGATCTTGCTATTGTTGTTCAGTCAGTCGCGAGCTCTCTGAAACCCCTCCGCTACATCCCTCCTAAATTGAGGGAGGGCGGGGGAAGGTGGGAGAAGGAGGCGCAACGCACCTCACCGGGACACCTCGAAACCCCAACGACACCGCCGCCCCAGTCGCCTCTCCCCGAGACCGGATAACAACGGCTCCAGAAACAAGGTGCTTGCCTCCTACACTTTCTGCACATTTGCTTCTTCTCGCACTCTTTGCACGCCTTCTCTTTCTTCGCCCTGACGCCGTGGTTCTCATGCCTCGACCCTCGATCCCTTCCCCGTCCACCGCCGCCGACACAGCACTCCACTGTCTCGTAACAGCACTCACTCCACCCCGAGTCCGAACAACAACAATCCTCGCCACAGATTAGACCTTCAGAGGCCGAGTCGTAGCCCGGCTCCCAAGTACCGTCATCATCGGTGCTGTAAGTGGCGTAGTCGCCCCCCTCCCCGAAAAGCACACCATCGTCGTCTTCATCGAGAGAGATCACTTCGCCGGGCCGGTGGTGGCGGGACGACTGCCGTTGCTGACGATGCTGTCCGGACCGTAGCGTAATGACGGCTTCGTCTACAATCTGGCGAATCTCGTGACTGTTCGTCGAGCCCATCTCGGATGGCCCCTGAGACCCGCAGACGGTCTTATTTGCTGCAAAAATACAGTCAGTGAGGCGAAGAAAACGTACACGTTGGTGAAAAGCTTTGTGCTTCACTTTTTTACTCATAATAGCATAGAGAGAAATAAAGAACCTGGGAAGGGTGGCGGAGGCGGGATCTGTTCAGAGCTTGCTGTTTGCCCCCCGCCTTCCCTTTCTCAACGTGTCCGGCTACCCGCATACAGTTAACCGTCCGAGGTCGTTCAAGTCACACCATCAAGCAAGAACACACGCCGTCCAATGCTCAGAAATATTGATGGGTGAGTTGGCGATGGAGCCGAAGACAGGGTACGGACTCGGTCGAGTTCAAGTTAGAACGAGCGGACGTCATAGAATGTGCCAAGAAGAAAAGAAAAAAAGAAGAGGCAGTTTGGCGTACGATTTTCATTCTGTCTCCCTGTTAGTCGTTTGGGCTTGACGCTGTATCGCGCGCTTGCTTGCTGCAGGCGGTCGAAGCGAAGTGAGTGGTACATCTGTTGCTGGACCCCGCTGTGAGCCTGCGCGTAGTTGAGAGTCGTACATGTTGGGTCTGAGAGGTCGGTTGCCAAGGCTGAGCCGAATTATTGAATAAAAAGGCGCAAGATCGCAACACTGGCATAAAAGATGGGTGTGCCAATCTTCAGCCTCTGTTGTGAGGAGGCCATAACTCATTTCATCTTCAGCCCTAAAATGACCAAACATGGTTCTTCTAACTTCCGCCACTTCTTTATGCTTGACCAAGCAAATTGCATGGCATATGGCGTGGTCTTAACGGCGGCGTATGAGATGAGCATCGCCAATAGGTGAATGTAGCGGCCTGTATGCCGGCCGTCCCAGCCGTCCTGAGAGAAGCTCAATGCCTTGCCTTGGTTAAGGTATGCAACAAGACGGGCAAGGCAACCCGCGATACCAGAGTACACAATCTGAGATGGAGGCTATAGACGCTAAGGCTGGGAGGGAGGGGGCAAAGGCTTTACGCGTGATGCTGCGGCATGTAGAGGATTTCAAAGCCAGCGAGCGCATTGGCCAGAGCAGAGCCTGTGACCGACCTACTACCTCCGTCAGGTACGCAATCAAACCGGCTAGATAGACGTGGAACTGGACAGCGTTGATCAGAAGCTCCTGACCTCGGGAAGACAGGCGGGCCGTCAAGAGATGATGAGAGGAGGGAGAATCAGGACAAACGGCTCAGAAATAGGTGTTGTAAGTATTTCTGTTGGGCGAAGTTTGATGTTCTCGGCTACACGAGCATAAATGCTTGCCTATGAGGACGAGAACGTAATAATCTTTTCTTCATGAGCTAGCTTGCTTGGTATTGTATAATCTTGATAACACAACCCAAACGCAAAACGATGCTACTAGACCCCTACGCCGTATAGACCGAAAACAACACTATACACGCCACCCCCAATAGAAGCAAACGCGCCTGTTCCCCAGGCCTGCTTGTACAGATCCTCACAGGCTCTGGCTCAACGCCAAAACCAACACACGCCAGCCATTCCCATTTGAACCTTATCACGCCCTCCGTGTTTTTACTTCCCCACAAATCACACATCTCTTACAAGAAACCCTTGGTGAGACTAGGCGCCCGACTAAGGCTGCTTTTCCGCTTGGGCACAGATATCATCGAGGCCGTGTCGTCGTCGACGCTGAACCCCGTACGCCAGGCACCGCGAACGCTTCCCATGGCGGAGGCGGCTCCTTTTTCGAACCTCAAGGCCTTGATGCTCTCAAGCTCACGTTCGAGGCGCATGGCTCTCTCCTTTTCCTCGCGAAGTTCTCGCTCGGCGCGGCGTGCTTGGAGCTGGTTTTCAGACTCCGACGACTGAAGCTCCTCGATCGTCTGAAGAAGCTTCTCGGCCTTGTCACGCATGCGGGCCACATCATCTTGTAGCTGCGTGTTCTGCTTGTCCTTGCGGTCGATCTGGCCCTGAAGGTCCTTGACAATCCGGTCAACATTGCGGACCGATCGCTGAGACTTATTCCTTTCATTCTCGTGCTCTTCAAGCTGGGACTCAAGCTAAGGGTAATAATGTCAGTCAATGATCCACATAACGGCGGCTGGAACGCTGACATACCTCTTGAATGCGTTTGTGCAGGAATTTAATGTCGTGGCTGGCACTCGAGTAGCCCTTAGTTTCGAGATCGACACATCTGATCTGGATCTCGTTCAAAGCCTTCTCGAGGGCTGCCTTGTCCTTTTGAAGCTGGGTGCTGGCCTCTCGTTCGACCATGGCTTCCTTTTGCATTTCCGATGCCAATGCTTCAGCACGTCTCATCTTTTCCACCGCGGCTGCGGCAATGTCTTCCTTCTGTGCCAGACTGGACTTGAGTTCCAACATCTCCTTGTCGATGTTTGCAGCGTCACGCAGGGAAGCGCTGTCGCCGTTTGTGAGGTCCTCAAGACCAGCCTTGGCCTCCTCAAGGCGAGCCTCGATATTGCGCTTCTCTCGAACGAGGGAGTCCCGCTCGGAGGTAACTTCATCCACTGACGCGCGGAGGGACCGAACTTGGGACAATAGGGTAACGATCTTGCCTTGGGCATCGCTGTGGGCGTTCACAGCCTCATCACGCGAGGACACAACGTCGGCCAGGGTTGATTCCAGGCGCGCCTTCTCCTTTGACCATGTCGAGCTGTTGAGAACTTCATCGTCCCACTTAGAGCGCAGCTCGTCAAGCTCCTCGCGCAAGCGGGCGATCTCCGCTTGCTTAAAGAGCTTCTCCTCACGGGCCAGATCCAGCTCCTTGGTCAGCGTGGCGAACTCGGCCTGGTACTTCTTCCGAGTCTGCTCCATGCTCATTTCCTTGTCCTCAATATCATTGGCTCTCTGGTTTCGGTAGTCCTCGAGTTCGTGCTGCAGGCGCTTTTTGGCTTGGGTTGCGGCATCAAGGTCGGTCGAAAGGTCCTCAAGTTTCTCCTCCAGTCTCTGGTTCTGACGTTGCAAATCTTCGATGGTGGAGTCCATTTTCTCTCTTTCAGACATGATCTCGGCACATGTCTCCTCGGCTTCCTTGGCTTGCGTCTTCGCAAACTGTTCTGCACGACTGGCCTTCAAAATCGCGATTTCCGCCTGCTCCACCTTATTGAAATACTCATCAGCACGACTCTTGTACAGGCTCAAACTGGACGTGACGTCGGCAAGTTTGGAGGTTTCGTTGTCAAGACGGATCTGCAGATCGGAGAATTCTTGCAGAAGCTGGCTTCGGCTGGCGGCTTCTTGCTCACGAGCCATTGTCATTTCCTCAAGCTCGGACCTGGTGTCGCGGAGTTCAACTTCGATGGCAGCCCGGTCGTGGCGCATCCTTTCGAAATGGTTCTTGACGTCTGATAGTTCCGAAATGGCATCCCTATGGCTATGCAGAAGTGAGCGACGCGCCTCTTCTTGGCTGTTGAGCGCGTCGAGAATCTCCTCGTGCGATCGGGTCTGGATATCACGCAGAGATAGCTCGCCACTCCTGATGCTTCTCTCCAGAGCCGATACCTTCTTAGCCGAATCGTCCAGCATGTCGTGCAAGCGCCTGTTGACCTTCTCAAGTTTCTGCACCCGAAGGACCGAAGAGTTCTCGTCGAAATCTTCCGGAGGAGACGAGTTGCGCTCGAGCTGGCTCTGAAGATGCCGGTTCTGCATCTCAGCAATCTGGAGCTGGTTTTGCAACTCCTCGACTTCGGCCTTGAGATCCATGCGGTTGTTGAAGCTCAGGATATCTGCCGTCTTGTCGGAACGAGCCGAGTCAAGAGGTTCTGATTCGATTCGTCGAGTGGGAGTCGAGTTGTTCGAGTACTGGCGTGCCTGCAACTTGGACCGCCGGAATGTGGGCGAACCGTTGAAAGGAGCCTCATTGGGACTCATTTCTTCGAGCTTGCCTCTTACGGGAGAGTCAACCCGGGCGGAGCGCAGCTCAGCCAGCTGTGCCTCAGCGTTGGTCCGAGCAGCGGTTTGTACACGGAGGTTTTGCTGGAGATCCTCAACTTTCCTAACCAGATCGAATTTCTTGCTAAGCGTGTCCTCGTTTGTACCGTCTGCTTGAGGCGGGATGACAACTCCGGGATCGACCGTCTTGAGAACCTTCAGCATCTGAGCCCTCAACTCCTGTAACTCTTTCTCCCTAGCTTCCATAGTCGACTGCAGAGTGCGAACAGTGGTCTGCGCCTGCGTACGAAGCTGGCGTTCAGATTCAACGGTTCGGTTGGCTTCCGCTAGTTGCGCTGTGGCTGTCGACGCCGTCTTTTCAGCATTCCTCGAGGTCTTAGCTTCCCGAGCCACCTCGTGGTTCAGGTCTTCCAAGTTAAGCTGCAACTTTTCCACCTTCTTCTCTAGGCCAGCGATTGTTAACTGAGCCTCGCCGAGCTGTTTGTTCAGCTGTGTGTTCTGCTCGTCAGCTCGGGCCTTTTCACGTTGCAGGCCCAGCACCTGACTCCTCGAGGCTTCGCTTGCTCTCGAGCTCGAGCGTGCGATTTCAAGCCCTTTTTGCTGAAGCTTGTTGAGCAGGGCGCGATTGTCGTTTTCCGACGCCTTGAGGCGACCTTTGACAGTAACCAACTCTCGCTCAAGTCGTTCCTTCTCCTGGTCATTCTTGAGCCCGAATTCGCCAGAGGAGAGAATGAGCTTGTTGAGATCTTCAACTTGTCGATTGAGATTAGCGCACTCGTCCTCGAACCACTTTAGGCGTTCTTGGGCGGCATCCAGGTCTTTTCGCAAGCTTTCCTCTCTTTCACGAGCGGCTCGAGAAACGGCCCGTTCGCCTTCGATCTCAGCCTGCATGCGAGCTTCTTCAGCCTGAGTCTTGGCGACGCGGAGTCGTCTGATCTCCTGCCTTGCTTCGTCGCGTTCCCGTTCGGCCGTGTCGCGGGCTTCCTTGGTCCGTCGCAGGTTGTCTTGTTGAACGTAGAGCTCCTTTTCTATAATAATCTTTGATTCATTCAGGTGGTCGTACTCTTCCTGGAGGTTGTTGAACTTGTGCTCGCTAAGTAGCAG